GTCCTGAGATGTTGCAGCTGATAGGAGTCATAAAACAGAACAGTGGGGCGTTAGATTCCCGGACGCCCCTCTAGATAAATGTGGTAAATGAGTGAAGGAAAATATGAGTGAGCACCAAGCAACAACCCTAGGTTCTCCCCTGAGAACCAGACCAAAAATTTTATGTGCAACCCTGAATATAATTCATCAAAATTAAAACAGCCTGAAGTATTTTTACAGTATCGTTTTTATAGTTGAAGTAAATGCTTATCAAATGTCTAATGTTAGAACTAGTCAGAGTTCCCTTTAAAGTTTCTTAATCTTTTTTTAATGAGTTGATGATCCTCACATCATTATCATCATCATCATCATTATTTAATCAACCCACCTTCAGTGATGGTGCCAGCTCCACAGGTTTCTGTGAGACCGTAGCCCTGACCGACGGGACAACAGAAACACACGTTCATGAACCTCTGCGTGGCYGAGGACAGCGGGGCTCCACCAGATAACATCATGCGCACCTGCCCGCCCAGGAGTTTCTTTACTTTCCTGAACAACAAGCTGCCAAAACCACCAAAAAAAACCAACTAATTACACACGGCTTGAACTACAGGCCAAACAACAAATGATGTGCTCCTAAAAGGAAGAACTGAAGGAGGAAARAATAAAACAAAAACAGGTCTTCTTACAAATTGCAGAGAGGTGCGTCATAGCCTCTTTTGACCTGCTCCAGTTTGTATTTGTAGCCCAGAATGAAGAGCGTCTTCTGAACAAAGCCCATTTCCTGCACTTTGCTCATCACGTTCTTGTTGATACGATCCATAATTTCCTTAAGAAGAGAGAGGAAAAAAAGGAGATGGGTTTTAACTTATTTTAAAAAGATGTGTGAAAATAATAATGCAATGAGCAAATATGGATGGATTATTACTGGCACAGCTGCCATCAGGGTGGGTCTGAGGACAGAGCAGTCTCCTTTACTTCCTTTTTTGATTTTGGTGGACTAAAAAGGGAACAGAGGCAGAAAAGCTGATAAATGCRGTGATAACGAGTAGGTGTATAAGCAGTTACATGTTTGCATAATTACAGCCACGTACAGTCGCGACTCTTACCTGGTCTGAAAGAGTCTGAGGGGAGGAGTAACCGATCCGGCAGCCGTATGTCACACAAGAGATTTCAGCTGTCATTTCCAGAACATGAGCTAGGGGCAGATAGGCTATGTACGTGTCTTTAGGCCTGTCAAAACACAATGAGAGAGAGAGAGAGAGGGGAGGGGAAATTAAAGAGAGTAGTTGCCACAGGTTTTCCACACACTGAGTGAGCTACAAGCTGAAAGCTACTCTAAAGATGAGCTGAGGTTGTTTCAGCCACACATTTAGCAGCTTTCATCGATTTACTCGTAATGCTCACCCAAGTTCAGGGATGCGCTCGCACTGCCCAGTCATCCCAGCAATCATGTTACTGTGGACGATCATGACTCCTTTGGGTCTGCCTGTGGAACCGCTGGTGTACATCACCACAGCCAAGTCGGAGGGCTGGGGCTTCACAATCGGCCTTTCCACTGCGAGACAAAAACAACCACTGTCTTCTGTTTGTGCAAGGTTTTATTTAATTGTATTTTTTTTAACCACCCTTGAATTTGCTTAAAGAGAACACCCATAGTAATCAGAGGTTTATAGTAACTGAAGTACATTTACTTAGTTACAGTACTTAAGTAATTTTTTTGAGGATTTGTAATTTTACCAAGTACTTTTTTTAAATTACTCATTATATTTAAAACCTAAAATTGATACTTCTTTACTTTAAAATTTAGCATCTAGTTACTCTTTACAAAATCAAATATGACCAAACTCATCATGAAATGAGTTGTTTATTCGCCCTAAAAACTGAAGTGTTGAATTTACTCAACCAAGTTCTGTCAGCTGGTTTCACTAAACCTCAGAGTAAATATGAGGAAAGAATATTTTCTCCACTCGGTTGTGGAACCAGTTCCTTAAAAGCCTTTTGTCATTTTTCAGGATGCCAGACTAAAGGTAAGAAACGGAGGAAGTTGTCTGACACCCTAGTCCACAAAATAAAAGTCCCCGGTCGCGTCTGGAAATGTTTAAAAGGCAGAAACTGAACCATTTTTGTCTACCGGTGGAACAAAGACTGTTAAGGGGATCAGTAAATTCTACAGTTTATTTCGTAGAGTGTGTAAAAGTACTTTTACTTTCCAATTTTTATGAACAGTTTTATGACTTTTACTTAAGTATTTTTCCCACCAGTGAAATTTATTTTTTACCAAACTCATTTTCTGTTAAGGTATTTTTACTTTTACTTAGTTATATTTTTCAGGTACTTTATAGGCCTCCGATAGTAATACAGAGATATACACACTGTTCTCCGGCAGAGAGCCCAGCTCTTGTACGGTCTGCATGCTGTGGATGGACAGGCCTGCTGGGTAGCCTTCTGGATTCACTTTCTTCTGGTCCACGTAGATCACGTGCTTCAGTTTGGTGATCATCGGCAGCACTTTCTGGACAGGAAAAACAAGCAAGAGGCGTTTTAAAAAAACACAAAGCTTTTGTTTTGCTACCCTGACCATTAAAAACATTGTTAAAAGTGAACAAAAAAAGAGGGAACCCAAAGACAACAAACTGTTGTCAGTCTACACATGGTTCATTATGTAGGTTACAATCAGTTCCTCCATAATACATCAAACCCATCATCACACGACCCATTTCCACAAAGACATTAGCAAAGAGACAATTCAGCATGGATTATAATCTACAGGCACCGTTGATCTTGTCTGAAGCCAGTATGTCACTGCCAGGCTGTGACTGTCGGCGACACAAAGTGGTGAGGAGAAAAAAAACTTCAATAAAAATTTAACCTGGAATCACATTGAATGGACACGATTACATATATCACAACAACGTTGCCTTAACTTCCAGGAAAAATAATCAATTGCAAGAATGTTGTTGTACAGTGTGGTAGATATGCAGTCCTCTGACCGGTCCAGCAATCATTTTATTATCAGATGRCAAGGAATATGAAGCTGCCGGATGAATGTATGAGCTGAGGGACCCACAATGTCTGGTTCTCATTGTCACAATTTGGTTTCTGCCTCACATTTGTCACACTTCCCGACTGAATTTGAAGTTCGAGACAAGTTCCAGGTTTGGGCAATGACCCATTATTTTGAGATTATTTTGGCGGAAGTTTTGGAAACTGAAAACACTCAGAAAACAACTCCTCTTGTGACCGCCGTTCAAAGATTATCCCCAACAGCCGCCGCCCACCGAGATACAGGCTTTAGTGAAGAAACGCTGTATCATTTCATGCCGCTATTACTCCTTATAAGTGAGTGCTTTAACTGTTGAAACACTTAGGTGACCATTTGTTTAAAAGAAATTTAAAATGAGTTAATGTCACATGCAAAAACATTTTCAAAGACTGAGTTCTTTCTTCCAGGCGTACGTAGACAACACGCTCCATTTACCCTGACATTTYCATCAGCCTCAAATGATTATCTCATGATGTTTGTTAAAACCACTTATTTAGACACACATCTTTTTTATGAGAGCAGCCAGATCAATGTTTCTCGTCTCTGCTAAGGGTGGATTTTAAGAGATGAACTCACTCTCAGTTTGGTCTCGAGCAGCTCGRCGCTGGTGACCAGATGGGTCACTCCCGTCTCGTTCAGACCATATGCAATCGCCTCCTCTCCCAGTGTGGCGTAGAAGGTCACCACTACAACCATTGAAGAGAACAACTTCAGAGTGGGAACATGTGTTAACACTGTCGTTCTGCGTGAGACGTGCTGTTTTTACTTACGGGGGAAGTTGCGTCTGAAGCACGCCTGAGCTGTGATCATCCACTCTGCTCTGGTTTCACAGAAGATAGCGATGGTGCTTTTGGGCTGCTGCCCCAAAGCTGCCAATCCGCTGCCAAAACGACTCACTATGGAGTCCACTTCATCATAGGACAGCCATGTGTACTCCCCCATGATCAGCTAAAAACACAAACARCTGGTATCAGCGTCAGACAGTTTGGTTTATTTATAGGATTTAATCATTTCAATTAAAAACTAAACAAAACATTACAAATAAAATGAAAGGCAGCAGCAGAAGAAAAAGATCTTATATCTGCTCCCAGTTACAAAAAAATTATATTAATTTCAAACAATAAGCCAAATAATAAACCAAAACAAAACAATTCAACTCCTCAAACAGTAACTCATGCAAATGCGACCCATCACATCAAAATGAGGATTAAATAAAATTTGGTCAAAATGACCTAATCATATTTTCAGATTCCTGGTTTTAAAAACTACATTTTTACACTTAGATCATCCTGATATCATTAGTAGATCCAGAGATATTTAATTTGTCTTGTTGGTTACAATAATAC